GACCTTGGGTTTGCCAGGCAGGCCCTGTGCCGCTGAGCTTTATCACCAACCCTGCAATGCATTATAGAAATAATTTTATGATGTTGGTTTTCTTAAAGCCCTAGTAAGTCTAAATATATAAAATTTTTAATCAGAATAGTTTTTCTTAATAGTAGATGTAGGTAAATGAAAGAAAGTTTCTTGTTCATATAAGTTTTTTGGGCTAAGACATTTATGTGAGTACTTTGAAGCAAAAGCAATTCTCATTTTAAATTTGAAAGCTCTTCCGGGCATAGTGGCACAAGCCTGTAATCCCAGCACTCGGGAGGCTGAGGCAGGAGGATCGCTGTCAGTCTGAGACCAGCCTGGACTGCAAAGTGATCTCAAGACCATCCTGAACTGCGTAGCGAGACCCTGTCTCAAAAACAAAACAAAAAATAAATAAATAAATACATAAATTTGAAAGTTCGCACCTGTGAGTGGGTAAATGTTTACTAGTGAGAAAACCAAGGCAAAGAGAAGTTACTCTAAGTTGGATATTGATTGCAGACACAGAAGATACAAAAAAAAATTGTAAATGAAAGTTTAAATGTCTGGAGAGAGTTGGTGGGTGGGCATTAGCAATCAGTGGTAGAGAGAGATCATTATGGAAAATTTAATAAAATCATCTGAGTGAGATATTTCACTATAAAAAAGAATAAAACCTGTTTCCATCTACAACACTCATACTATTAAAAGAATATCTTTTAATAGTATATAGTAATAGTAATATTTCCTTTTAATAGGAAATATTCCTAAATATGCATTGTGCCTCAAATTCTAAAGTAAGGTTTACATTCCCAATGTCATTCCTGTTGGTTGGACCATACTCACCTTCCTAACATGGCAGATACTATATCATGCCACACCCTTGCTAGACTAATGACACTAACGTTAATACTAGCGCTGCAAATTTGGAAGATCATCTCTATGAGAATTAACTAAGGACAAATCAATATGTGTTTGAGCAAACGATATTATTGGTTTGATTGTTCTGTTTATAAAGTCAGAGAAGGCTCACTGACTATAAGAAAACACAAGAAACAAATTCTATAGTGATGAAAATTACTATTAACTTGGAGATTTTAAGATAAAGAATGATATCAGTTAAAAATGTGTTATCTAGAAACAACATTGAATGTGGATCATCTGGATTTTGATGTTTAAAAAATTTTTTAGAGTTTAGTATTAAAGAAGACTCTCATATAGCTCTGTGAAATGTAATTTTATTAAGAACCTTTCAATCTGTAAGTATTTTCAATCTGTAAGTACTTGTTTTTCTCAATGAAAAACATATTTTTCTCAGATGGAATTCAAGCATATTGAAAATCAGAATTATTTACCAGCCAGTTTTTTGCTTTAAAAGGGCAAACTTTTAAAAAAAGGAACAAAATAAAACTGAAAAGTTATCTGCTTTATGGAATCTCTGGGGGAGATTGAGATAGATTCTTAGAATGCTTAACGATCTTACTATTAAAACAGCTTCAATAGATAAAGGTGATGGCAAAAGTGATGTACTTCACAAATATTATCTTTATTTTTGTTTTCTTCAACTTCAGAATATGCAGAGTAGACAGGTTGGGAGCAGATGCAATGTGACTGTCATGTCAGTAGCCTATTTGTCCTAAAGCAATTTTAGAGTCCCTGAGGTGCAAAGCATTATGGAGGCTGGGATATAAGGAAAATGTCTTTCCTAATGTGTTGATCATTTTGAACTTTATATTATCTATCTCAATTACTAAGCCTTTGGTACTCATTAAAGAATGATACAAAAAGAAATACAACGAGTATATTTCTAAATGACTTACAATATGTGTGCAATAACTAGTGTTTAAAGATTTTAGACAATATTTCTGTGGATTTCATTGAGCATTTGTGCATGTATGCACAAATATATCCGTTTTCAGAAGGTAGAAAAATTTAATTAGCAGATTAATACTACTGGAGGAAGATATTTTTGTTTGCCCACTATAAATTTTCCAATAAATCATTTGGACACATATAACATCTGGCTTGACCTCAGTGTATGCCAAAAACTTTAAAAAAAATCTTAATATCTACAGTTAAGGTTTTCCTTTTTTTTGGAAATCATACTACAGTTATAAAGCTAAGTTACGGAGTTACATCTTCTTCACGTCTGCAGGATTCTTTGGTATAAAGGGCTAATTACAGAGGTCAATATTAATAAAAGCATAGTGTCTTTTATCATTGAAAATGCTTAGGTCAAAATAAGGTATTTTTCTAAAACAAAGTTTTTTGTATTATCTGCAGAGTTTTAAATCTTAACTACATAGTTTTTCTCTAATTTTTATTTTTGATAAGTGACAAAGACAGATGCATCTTAATCTCCTCCTGGCTCAAGGCATAACACGATGTGATACAGGAATCCCATGATAAGCCAGCATGCGTTTTGGAAGTTTGTGCTTCACTATATATTCCAGCAGTCATCTGATACAATACTGGGATGCTGACCAATATAGTGTTCTGCTCCTATATTCAACCACTGGGTTTCATTTTTTCAATCAACTTTATTGAGGAATAATTTATATTCCTCAATACAGTGCACCTGGAGTGCCTTCAGGGTGCCTTCAGTGAAATTCACCTACTTGTGGGCACAATTGCGTGTGTTTCTTTTTTTTTATTTGCAGAGTTGTCTCATAGTAACCACAGTCCACCCAATTTCTATCACCCGAAAGAGATGCCTTGTACTTGTAATTCAGCATTTTTAATAGTGAGTCTGCAGCCTGTCTGATACTGCTTTGTACACAACTCTGTGGACACAGAGAATACAATATTTTATTAAAAATGTATCACCCATTACGATGTGTTTCTGTTTCTCCTGCCGGATTCTGAGTCCCACTAGGAGTCTTAATCATCATGTTCTCACTCCTACCTTGCACACTGCCTGCAGTTTAGCTCCTGATCACTGCTAAGCTGGCACCAATATCCCCAAAGACACTGATTTCCAGGTATTTTAGAGGAGAGCAGGGGGTGGCTTCCTGCTGTGCTCCCTGGGCATTCTCATGGATAATGCATTGTCCTGAAAAATTTTTGAATCAGGGAGCCCCGGCCAACCCCAGGAGTCCTATAAAGTGACCATTGAATGCAAATCCTGCCTTGCTGGATTCCTTCACCTGATTGGACCTTGATATTTCACTTCCACAACATGTCCCTTTTAGTGTGATTTTGAGATAAAGATGTTATGATGATCACAGTAATAACTGGAGATTCCAAGTGAAATTTGGTACCTGATTTGTACCGCATTCCCTTCTTTAACATTCTGTAGCCCAGTATGTCCAAGGGCAGAGTGTTGAATCAGTGAAGTAGAGCAAGCAGTTCTTTGATCTGAATGTCAAGGCGCCTTCAGAGTTAGGTTAGAGATTGTGATGGAGACCTGATTAACTACCAGTACTACTGATATTACCAGCTTAACTTGCTTACTCATTAAGAAACTAGAACTTAAAGGAGCAGAGGTGAGCCCTGTCCCCCCAAGTACCATCCCAGGAGGGCAAAAGGAAAAGGTTACTTTGGTTGATACTGGTGAAGAAGAAGTAGAGGCAAAAGTAGGGTTCACCTTGCTTGAGAAACACTCAAAGGTGGGTACATGTGATCAATTAATGACTTCTGCTCCTACACAGGGAGGAAAGAACAGGATCATCTTTTTAGCCTTCTACCTATGCACGAAAATGTTCTGTTTTGTTGTTGTGGAGAATTTGAATGGCAAAACTTGGGTAATGTGCCATATATTCGAGAGAACAGGGCTTTGGGGTAGCACTTAGCTTAGATTTACCAGACAGTTTTTCACTCAGGGTCAACTGCTATGGAGAACAGGCGATTTCCTGATATTTTCTTATGTTTGTGCTTTCTTCAGTCTTGACAGAGTCCTATAATCAAGGACTACCAGAGCTAGGGTAGATTCAGGGCATCCAATGCAAAGCTCTAGAGACTTTTTTGTTCATTCTGGTCTCCTGCTCCCTAAATGTGCCTTCATGTCTTGCATTTTCAGACCTAGAGCAAGCCTTGAGATTGGCATAGGAGGACACTGAGTTGTATCAAAGTGTTGTAGGTTACCTAGGGTTACCGTGGAGTTTGTGGAAGAGCAAGAACTCAGAGCAAAGTGTCCTGAGAGATAAACTTATTCACAAACAGTGATGAAGTTGCATAAAAGTGTATTAGTATCTCATAGTTGCTGCAACAGAATACCACGAACTGAGTAGCTTTAAAAACACATGTTCGAATTTAGCAGCCAGGCATGGTGATACAAGCTTATGTTCTCAGCACTCTGGGAGTCTGAGGCAGAAGGGACAAAAGTTTGAGCCTAGCTTGCACAACTTAGTGAGAACATGTCTGGTTTTTTTTGTTGTTGTTGTTTGTTTGTTTTTTGCTTTTTTTTTCCAGTACTGGGAATCGAACTCAGGACCTTGCGCTTGCCAGGCAGGCGCTGTGCCGCTGAGCTATATCCCCAGCCCCTGAGACCGTGTCTGAAAATAAAAAAAATTAAATAAAGGGCTGGGGGCATAGCTCAGTGCCAGAGCCCTGCATTTAGTTGCAACTACTGCAAAGCAAACCAATAAAAACCCACCAAATTATTATTTCACATTTTGGGGGCTAAAAGTCTGAGATAAAGTTGTGAGTTACAGACTGGTTCCTTCCAAAGGGGATCCTTGGAGTGGCATTTTCCCTTTGACTTCTACACATTCTTTGCCTTCTGTGTGTTTGTCTCCCATCCAAATTCCCCTTTTTGTTTTTTTTTTTTTTTTTTTTTTTTTTTTTGGTTTTTCTCTGGTACCGGGAACCGAACTCACGACCTTGCGCTTGCCAGGCAGGCGCTTTTGCCGCTGAGCTAAATCCCCAGCCCCTCCCCTTTTTGTTAAGGACAACAGTCATATGAGAGTAGGGCCCATGCTAATGACGTCATCTCAGCTTCATCATATTATTTCCAAATAAAGTCACGTTCGTGGATGTTAAGGGTTAGAGTTCCATTGTGTTTTGAGGGGAGGTAGTTCAACTGCTAACACTAGGAGCAGAATAATTAAAGGGGAATGGACAAGATGAAGCTGTAGACCCTTTTTTTTCCCTGGAAACAAATGACAACTAAGACAGTAAAATAACTTCTTATAAACTCTGAAACCAAAGATCTATACCAACCAGATAAACTTGTAGTCAAGAAAAAAACACATTCAAAACCATAGAAAATTTCAGAGGAACATCACTCACTCTTGCTACAGCCCCTCCCACACATGGTACGTGGTCTGGAGGAAGCAACCCCATTCCTGCTTCCCATGGGAGGCATGGAAAAGACTATGCTTGTTTACAGCAGCAAGGCCAATCTGCCGCATGCCCCAGTGATGTTTTGTGTTGTTTTCCCACCCAACACAGACATCCAACAGAGTGGCAATATAATTTGAATCTCACATTGGCAGTAGGTGCGATGGCTGTGAAAATGTCAGAAGGTTTATAGACCTACAAACACCACAAAGCAAGAGATCACAAGCAGAGAAATACGAAGCATGTGTGAGACTTTCACCATTGTAAACAAATACCAAAGAGAGTCAACTTAGAGGAATATAGGTATGTTTGGGCTCTGAGTTTTAAAAGGAGAAGTTAAAGAGAAAGGAAAAGAAGAAGTAATTGAAGCAGTAATAGCTGAGAGTTATCTTCAAACATCACACAACAAACCGTAGATCCAGGTATTCTACTAAATAGAATAAATGCAGGAAGAGAGGTGTTAAGGGAGACTTTACATAAGCAAGAAAAATATCTTACCTATGAGGAAGAAAGCAAAACAAATGAACAAAATAACTATCTTGGCTCAAAGAAACCCTCTTTAAACATGAATGCAAGTATAAATTAAACTTACAGATGGAATAAGACATATTATGCAACATTAATCAAAAGAAAATAGAGGTAGCTATATTAATTTCGGCAAAGCAAACGTCAGAGCAATACAATTTATTAGGAATAAAGCAGGCTATTAGATAATAATAAAGAAGTCAGTTCTCCAAGAAGACACAGCAATCCTTAATGTGTATGCACCTAACATGAGTGTCAAAATATGAGGCAAAAATTAATTGAGAGAGTTTTAAAGCTCTCCATAAGAAATTGACAGATTCTGCAGGAAAAATGTCAGAGAAGCATTGTTAAATTCGACATCACCATCAATCAACTGGATATAAATGACATTTATTGAAGACTTAGTCTGGTAACAACAAAATACACATTCTTCTCAAGGTCATATAGAATATTCACTAAAATAGATCACAATTCTGGACCATACAATGTACCTTAAGAGATTAAAAAAATAGAAATAATACAGTATATGCACTCACATCATAAATGGAAATAAGCTAGAAATCAACAGAATAGTGGCTGTAAATATTCGGGTATTAAACAATGCACTTTTGGGGGCTGGGGATTTAGCTCAGCGGCAAATCGCCTGCCTGGCAAGCACAAGGTCATGAGTTCGGTTCCCGGTACCGGAGAAAAACCAAAAAAAAACAAAAAAATAAAAAAATAAAATAAACAATGCACTTTTAAATAATACACTGGTGAAAGAAGAACTCTTGGAGAAAAACTCTGCTTTTGTCTAAATGAAAATGAAACTTACCATAGTTTGTTAGGGTGTAGTATTTGAAGCATATATTATAAAAGAGATCTCAATCAGTAACCGAAATTTCTAACTGTGGGAATCAGAAAAATGAGAACTATTTAAAATCAGAATGAAGCAGAAGAGACAGAGAAATGAAAACTAAGGCAGAATCAATAAAATTAAAACCAGAGAAGTAAAAGAATTAACAAAACCAAAAGCTAGTTCCTTGAAAAGATCAATAAAATTGAGAAGCTCTAACCATGACTTTTACCCCACAGATATGATAATGTCTTGAAAGGTATAGCTGCCAAAACTCACTCAAAAATAAATACAGGGTAACTCACTTGGGCCCCCCTTCTGTCCCTCTCTTGGGACAGAATCTTTCTTTTCTTCCACTCAATAAATATATTCTGCTCTTAAAAAAAAATAAATAAATAGAAAATTTAATTAGGCCTGTATCTATTAAAGCACTGCAGTTTATAATTTATAATCTCAACCAGTACCACATCCAAATGCTTTTCTTGATGAACTCTCTCATTTACAAAACAGATTTTAACAATTATTTACAATCTCTTCCAGCATGTGAAATCAAAAGGAACACATTTTAACTTAGTCTAATAAGCCACCATTGCTATAACCAAAGTAGACAATGACATTCAAAGGAAAACTACAGAGCAATATCTCTCATGGATTTAGTTATAAGAGCCTCAACAGAATTTAGCAAATCAAATGCAACAGCCTATAAAAGAGTTATACTCTGTGACTATGAAATGTATCCCAAGTGGCAAGATCTCACATTTGAAAATCAACTAATGTAATGCATAACTTGAACAGGATAAGTAGGAAAAATCACACAGTTATATCCATAGATGCAGAAAAGACATTGGACAAAATTCAGCATACCATTCATAATAAAAACTTCAGCAAATGGGAAATAGAAATGCTTTTAACTTGATAAAGAATATCTATAGGAAAACTACAACAAACATCATACATACAAGTGAGAAACTCGAGGCTTACCTGCTAAGATCAGTAACAAAGCAAGCATGTCCCATCTTACCACAGCTTTTGAACATCATACTGGAAGTCCTAGCTAATACAATAAGAATGAAAGGACCTGTATATAGATCTGGAAGGAAAAGGTACAGTTATCTTTCTTTCAAGATTGCATGTCTATGTAGAAAAATCCCAGGCAGGTGGCAACCCTTCCAAACCAAACAATTCTTGATACTAAAAGTAATCAGTGATTCTTATAAAACTTCAAGATAAAAGATTAATATGTACAAGTCAGTCACGTTTCTTGTATACCAGCAATGAATAAGTGAAATTTTAAGTTAAAATCAATACCATTTGTATTAGTACTCCCTGAAATGAAATACTCATGTATAAATCTAATAAAATGTGTGCAAAATTTGATGAGGAAAACTATGAAACTCTTATGGAAGAAATCAAAGAGCAGAATAGGTGGAGATTGCACATTCATGGACAGACAGATTCAGTATTATCAAAATGTCTATTCTTCTCAATTCGCCTGTGTGTTCAGTGCAACCACAATTCATATCCCAGCCAGTTATTTTGTAAATGTTCTTTTTTAAACTGGTGAGTTTCACCTTGCCCTTTATTGTCCAGCTTCAGTGCCACTTTCTCTGTGATGATTTTCTGTTGTGTCCAGGTTAATACTACATTCCTATTCTGGAATAGGAATTTCCAGAATTCATTGTCTTTTCAACTATTATTCCCCATGCCTTGTACCACACACGTGCATAACACAAACACCTCCACATTTATGTTTGGTTTCAGTTTTTGAATCATGCATGACTGAGCCTTTTGTTATAAAAGCTTTTGAGTTTTGTGCCCTTAGAACAGTGGATAAAACTAAATATCTGTGATGAAACATAGCAAAATAGGGTAATTCAGAATTGGCTCCATGATTGGATCAACTTATTAATGGTACCTCTTTATAAATTTTACCTCTTTATAAATTTCCTAAGATTTTGTGGAATTCTGGTGAAATGTAAGATTCCAGAGGATTTTGATGATTGTGTTTCCTCTTTTTGTCTAAAAGTCATCTGTCGTAAGTAGCATAGCACATAAGAAATTCATGCTTTATCCTTTTTAGAAAGAATAAAGAAGTAGAAAGGTCATCTTCTATCAGATGAGCTATTACCATTCTTGAGATGAGAGCATCATCAAGTCATGATGGACTTAGACTCCTGTTGAATCACGCAGTTCATCATGGGTAGATTGTTGTGGCGAACTTCTTAGGTGTAGCATTGAGATGATTGGACTCTTAGTAGAAAATAGTCTTTTAAAATATATTCATGTCTGAGTTGTCCTTTTAAAAGCAAGGCAAAGAGTTCTATTGTGTCTCTTTCATTTTACCTTAACAAAGGTGTATCATCTTCAGAAATGCTTCAGTTATTCAGGGTGAATAGATAGAAAAAGCCTAGAAGGCTGTTTACTATGGGAATGAGTGAACTTTCTTATAGGATTCTTTATTATCAATATTGTACTACTTATCTCTTCCCCAATACACGTGGAAATGGCCTCCCTTTATGAAGGCAGTGACATTTATAATGTCTACTTAAAAATAAATAAATGCAACCCTGTGCTGACCCAATCAGGAATAATGTGAATCCATAGATAAGGTACTAGTTCCTGTTCTTTGCCAATACCATATCTCAGATAAGAGTTGGTACAAGTTCTACTCAGAAAAGGGAGGTGTTCTGACAAAAAGGGCAAAGGGCATCTGACACAGTGGGGTGTGGGTGGCGGAAAATCCTTCATCCTCGCTGGTGCTGCCGGTATAGACCCATGTGCTATATGTATCTTTATGACCGGAAGACAGCCACCACCAGATGCCACCAGTCTGCATGTAGGAGGAGGACAGATTTTTACCTTTCAAGCCTTGCAAGATCCTTTATTAACTTTCACAATATCAAGAATATTTATGCTGCAGGATTAAATATATGTGTTAGGATTTTATTGTGAAGCGCTCCGTTGCATATTTCCCCATTTATTGTTTCTTTAGTGGAATGTCTTGGTTTTTAACACTCAAATGTCATAAGTGCACATTACAGTAGCCCTGTCCAGAAGGAATGTAATTACATTCACATACTCATATGTAATTTAGATGTTTTTAATAGTTACATTATAAAAGTAAAAACAAACAAGCGAAATTAATTTTAAATATATTTTATTGGATTTTTATTTGATCCTATTTATTGAGAATATGGTTTCAATAATAATTAATATAAATAAGTTTTGAAGTGTTGTTTGTACTAATTCTTTAGAAATTAGACTTAATTTCAGATTGGACTTGCCAAATCTCAAGTTCTCAGTACAGGACCTGTGTATGGCCAGCAACTACACATTAGAGTGTAATGCTATAACTTATTTTGGCTATTGTTTATATAGAAAAATACTCATTTTTTCACTCCCTAAAACTCAGTACAATATTTTAAACCAGACAGTATACAGAGAAAGTCTCAAATGACTTACATGCAATTATTAGAACATCAATCATGTGTAGTCATTTTGAAAAGTGTGCTCACACTTAAAAAATTCTGTTGGGCTAGATGTTGTTACTACATTGAGGAGCTTTCTTACAGCATACTAAGTATTTGTTTAAAAGCATAATTATTTGGTGATATATGAGCAATATTTTTAGCATTTTATATCTTACATGATTATTTATAGGCATTTTTACTTTGCAACAGCTGCCATATATATACACAAATTACATATGAGTATGAGAAAAATCTATTGCCCTACTTTCTATTATCTTTTATTTTGCTCTTTCTTTACAATTGAGTTTCTCGCGTGAGAGAAACACTATGATATTTAAGCTTGTGTGTCTGATTTGTTTCACTTAACAGTATGGCCTAAGGTGCATCCATTTTCTTATCATCCTTTACAGCATAGTACTCCATTGTGTGTAAATACATTTTCTTTATCTCTGCCTCTGTTGATGGACTTAGAAGCCACTTTCAAGATTTAGCTATTATGAATGGGCTGCTATAAACATGGGTATGAATGTACATCACTGTAATATAGTATTTTTCATCTTTCAGGAAGATGCCTAGAAAGAAAATAGCTGAGTCAAATAGAATTTCTATTTTTACTACTTTGAGGAATTTCCAAACTGATTTCCATAGTGATTGTATTAGTTTTTATTCTCACCAACCATATAGAAGTGTTTATTTTTTTCCTGCAGCCTCTCCAGCACTTTTTGTGATTTGATTTCTTGATAATGGTCATTCTTTCTGGAATTGGATAGAATTTTAGTGTGATTTTTATTTGTATTTCTCTAATGACCACTGATGGTGGGCATTACTCCAGGTATTTATGGGCCATTTGCATTTCCTCTTCTGTGAAGTGTCTGTTCATTTCACTTGCCTATTGTTTGGTTGGGTCTTCATTTGTGGGTGTCTAGTTTTAGAAAATTCTTTATGTATTCTAGATACAAGTGCTCTGTCTGAGCAATAACTGGCAAAAATATTTCCCACTGAACAGGTTGTCTCTTCACTCTGTTAGTGGTTTCTTTTTCAGTGCAGAAGTTTTTAATTTGATGTATTTCTATGTGTTGATTCTTGGTACTATTTCCTGTGCATTTGGGGTTCTGTTGAGGTAGTCTTGCTTATACCTATGACTTCAAGAATTTTACGTATTTATGTTCCAGCAGGTTAAGTATTTATGTTTTAACATTTAGATCTTGATACATTTTGATATTAGTTCACTACATGGTAATAGATATGAGTCTAGGTTCAATCTTCTGCATGTAGATAGCCAGTTTTCCCAACACTATTATTACAGTGACTATCTTTCCACTAGTGTATATTTTGGTCCCTTTGTCAAAGACCAAATAGTTGAATGTGGTTGGTGTTACTTCTGTTTTTTTTTTTTTTTTGGTTTTTCTCTGGTACCGGGAACTGAACTCACGACTTTGTGCTTGCCAGGCAGGCGCTTTGCCGCTGAGCTAAATCCCCAGCCCCTAGTGTTACTTCTGAATCCTCTACTTCAGTGGTGGTGAAACTACTGCAGCAGCAGCCAGCTGTTTGTTATCATTGAATGCTCTAAAAGATTTGACATCACTGCATTCCATTCCATTGATCCTCATGTTTGATTTTGGACCAGTACAATACCTACTTTGTAGGGAATTTATTTGGGGTTCATATCTAATGCTTTATGTATCTCTTTTTCTCATTCTTAACTTAATTTAATTTATTTATTTATTTTTGCCTTTTTGAGACAGGGTCTCCCTGTACCATTCAGGCTGGCCTTGAGCTGACTTTGTAGCCCAGGCTGACCTCAGACTCGCAATGATCCTCCTGCCTTGGCCTCCCATGTGCTGGGATTACAGGCATGTGCCACCATGGCTGGTCCATTCTTAATTTTAGACCTCATATAGTACTTTGTTACCCAACATCTGATTTCCAGGATTGGTCTATTGTATTTGCATTAAGCAGGACCTATCTGTGGTGTCAACTCTACAGTTTAGGTCTTTTCAAATTCTGTGTTTGTGGACTTCTAGAGCTCTTCTTAGTACTTGAGAGTTCTACAATCTTTTGACACTACCTTAATTTTTAAATTAAGGTGTTTTAAGCTCTTTTCTTTTCTTAAAAATATGTCTACTAAGTACAATTTAATAAATTTTTATACATTTATACATTAATGTATTGATTTCCCATTTAGAACTCATTATAAAGTTTTTATTGTCCTATTACTATTAAAGAATGCTGAGTTTTCATGTTTAAGACAAAACATTTATCCTTTGCTGCTACATCTCTGTATCAGTCAGAATGTCTACAAAACTATATAATCATTGAAGATTCAAAAACAGAATATTGAGGCTGAGTGCCACAGTTATATAAAATCCATGATTTCTAAGTTGTATGTTTGTACAGACTATCCTACCATTCTAATTCATATGCTTTAGAGTAAGTATTATACATTGGATATTTCAAAACAATATTAGGCTTTATCAACTTCACATACTAAGGTGCTGTTTAGTTTATTCCCTCTTAAAAATATATTAATCTGCTTCAAAAAAAAGTTTTGGAACAGATGTTCAAAACAGTTATCCTGATTTCCAAAATAATCTTTCTGTTTTTATGCTGACAACTACCTGCCTCAGTTCTCCCCAGATACTGAGGGCAGATTTATGAATGTAAGCCAAACAAATATCAGTTCATTAATTCTTATTTAATCTGTGTCCTGCTTTTCTCTTTTAAATAAGAAACAATATTCTCTGTGATGAATGTGTGGTCAATGTGAAATACCACTCTATGGAAAATGACAAGCAAAAGAAATTCACTTATTTCAATTCTCGATTTACTTTATGAAGCAGGCAAAATTGTTTTGAGATAGCCATGCATTTCAAGTGCCTTCTTTTACAAATAAAGTTTCTTTATATAAAAATATTTTGTACAATCAAAGCAATACCAAAGGCATATTTTTTATGTTTATCAAGTGTAATAATCTGAAGCAGTGAAATAAAAAATAAGGGCCTAATTTCTATAAACAAAGTTGGAAGTTGATGCATTTATTCTCAGATAAATAGAGTTTAGATTACTAATGTAAAAAATACTTTATATAGTTAGTTGCACTGACACAGAAATTGATCTACAACATAGTGATCCTCTATAAACAGTATTTGAATGTGAACTTGCAATTTATTTTCTCACTGCAAGGGATTATTTTTACTCTTCATTTAAATTTAAATTTATAAAATTACTGAATTTTTTGTCATTTTAGTTGACAATTAGCATTTGTGTTTGTTCACATAGTACAATGTGATATTTTAATCTATGTATACCTTGTACAAAGATTCAGTAAAGCTAATTAACATACCTGTCACCTTCCCAACTTCTTGCATGGTGAGGTTAACAATCTACTCTTGTAGCAATTTAAAAATATGTATGTAGTACATCACTATTAGCTATGGTCATCAGACAGTGCAATAGATCTCTTTGATCAACATCTTTCCCATCTCTATTCTTATTGCTCTCCAAGCCTCTTTAATGGATTTTTTCACTCCTTTTTGTCCAATAAAATCACCTTTGTGAGATTTCATATATAAATGAGGTCTTAGTTTTATTTTTTTCCTTCTAAGCAAAAGTTATTGGACATTATTAGGATAATGTCTTCCAGTTGAATGCATGTTATAGGAATGACCGGAGTCCCTTTTTTATGAAGGCTGTGTAACACCTCATCACGTGCAGGGTAACCACCCCTTCTTGGCTGGGAATATATTCCCTGCAGTGGGTGCATAAACCTGTGGATAGTACTTAACAATATTTGAACAGGCTGTACATACACACATGTGATATAGTTTAGTTTACAAAATGGGCATAGTAAGAGATTAGCAAGAACAATAAAATATATCCATTTTAGCAATATATAGAAATAAAAGTTGCATAAATGCAGTCTCTTTCTCTGTCAAAATCTGTGAGTGTTTTATACTCACCCTTTCTCTTGTGGGGATGCAACCCGTGGTTCAGACCACCGTTGGTCCACAGGTAACTCACACCTCTGAAGGGGCAGCAGGAGATAAGAGAGATCTACTGTAGACACCAGGTTTATTTCCATTCATTCATCCGTCCATGGGCACTTCGGTTGCTTTGCTATCTTGGCAACACAACTGAGAATAACCCTGAAATAAATATGAAAGTGCAGTGTCAATGGTTCGGATGTAAACCCATAATTGTGATTGCTCAATTTTATGGTAATCCTGTTTTTAGGTTTGTGGGTAGTTTGTCTCCGTTCAATTTTTCATAACAGCTGCACTGATTTACATTCCCATAGAAAATGTATGAGGGTCTCCCTTCCCCTACATCGTTACTGAAACTTACCGTTTGTGTTTTTGACAGTAACCGTTCTAACACATGTAAGGTGACACTGTATGGTTTTATTTTTTCTGCTCCTAATTGTTTCCTTAATTTTTACTGATTTTAGTACATATTTACAATACACAGTGATTGAATGCCTCGTGGGGAATGGGAATAAGTCTATAACACATCTTAATTTTTTTTGTATCTCCCCTCCCCGCCTCACCTCTCAGTCCATCTCTTGGTCTCTTATCCTTTCCTTTTGCAAAAGATTTATCTATTTCCTATTTTTCTATTTATTTCTTTCCTATTTATCTATTTCCTATTTAATTTATCTATTAATTATTTTGCTGTTTGTTTACATTTTGAGTTTCTCATATAAGATAAACCATGTGATATTTAAATTTGTGCATCTGATTTATTTCACTTAACATTATGGTCTCAGGATGTATCCATTTTCCTACAAAAGATCCAAATTTATCCTCCTTTATGGAAAAGTAGTAGTACTCCATTATGTATACACGCCACATTCTTTTTATCAGTTTGTCTGTTCATGGACACATAGGCTGCTCCAAGATTTAACTTATGAATTGTGCTGCTAGAAACACAGATACATATTTAACACTATACTATGATATCTTTAACTCTTCGGGGAAGATAGGTAGAAGGACAATAGCTGGATTGAATGGAATTTCTATGTTTAGTTTTTTTGAGGAATCTTTATACTTATTTCCATAGTGGTTGTACTCGTTTACATTCCTACCAATAATAGAAAAGGGTTCCCTTTTCCCCACAGCCTCACCAGGACTTGTTATTATTTTGTTTCTTGATGGTAGCCATTCTTTCCGGAATAAGATGGAATTCCAGTATAGTTTTAGTTTACTTTCCTCTGATGGCCAGAGATGTTGAACATTTTTGTCACATATCTATTAGCCATTTGTATTTCTTTTGATAAGTACTCTGTACACATTTTGAAATCAAATTGTTTTCTTGCTAATGAATTATTTAACTCATAGGTAGATATTAGTACCTGTTTAGATGTGTCAGTTGCAAGTATTTTCTTCCTTTTTAAGGGCTGTCTCTTCACTCTGTTAAATGTTTTCTGTACTTTTTAGTTTAACAGAATCCCATTTGTTTATTTTTGCTTTCGTTGTCTATGCTTTTAGAGTCCTATATAAAAAATTATTGCCCAGAACAATGTTGGGGAGTTTTTCCCTTTGTGGTGTCTTCCTCTAGCTTTAAAGGCTCAGGTCTTACATTTAAGTTTTTACCTATTTTAAGTTGAATTTTGTATACAGTGGGAGATAGGGTCCAATTTAGTTATTTTACATGTCGGTATTCATTTCTCCCATCACCATTTTTAATACACTAGCCTTTCTCCATTTTGTGTCTTGGCATTTTGTCAAAAATAAATTGAATGGAAATACTTGGACTTATTTGTGGACTTCCTGTCCTGTTCCACTGATGAGTGTGTATATTACTCAGTTTTCCTCTTGCTGGGGCAAAATATCTGACACTGACAACTTGGTTGGTGGTTTTGGAGGCTTCAGTCAATGGTCAGCTGGTTCCCAAGTGGGAACGTCATGGTGGGAAGGAACATTATGGTAGGAAAGTGTGGCAGAAGGAAGCTGTATAACACATGGCATCTGTGAAGCAGGGAGAAGGGGAAGAACTCTGAGAGAAAGGGTCAGAATCCAGATTTAGGCCTCAAAGTCATGCCTTGACGGCCTCCTTCCTCCAACTAGGTACCTCATAGTAGCACCTTCATCTCATTGATGAAGTTAGTGCTCTCACTATCCAGTCACCTTCCCAAGAGTCTTTTCATCTAGTCAAGTTGAGAGCCAAGATCGACAGACAGAGTGTTTCTGTTTTTATTACCATTACTGTCTGTTTTCATTGTGACTTTATAATGCATAATTATCCATCCATATTTGTGGATTCAGTATCTGTAGGTTCTACCAACCACCGAATGAAATTTTGGAAAGAAGCTGTGTATGTTTTGAATATGTGTAGACTTTTTTGTTAGCCTCTTAACAGTACAGTATAACAGCTATTTACACAGAATTTACATTATACTCATATAAGTAATATACAGATGACTTAAACTGCACAGGAGGATGTGCATAGCTTACGTACAAATATTGCACCATTTAGTATTTGAGCATCTGCAGATTTTGGTGTCCATGGGGAGTCCTGGAACAACGTCCGTCCTGACCCTAAGGGATGACAGTGTTTACAGATCTGGGAGTATGATGCCTAGAGCTTTGCTCTTTCTGCTCTGATTTGGCTATCTAGGCTCTCTTCTAGTTTCACAGGAACTTTAGGATTATTTTTCTATTTCTTTGCTATGTACCACTGAAATGTTGATTGGATCTTCACTGAATCTGTAATCTCACTTTAAGTAGAATGGATATTATAATAGTACTAATTTGTCCAGTACGTGAACATGGGATAACTTTCCATGTGTTTATATTGTCTTCAATTACTTCACAGTTGTCAATGTACAGATCTTTCACCCCCTTGCTCACTGATTAATATTTTCATTACTATTGTAAAGGGAATCATTTTCTTGATTTCTTTTTCAGAATGTTTTTATTACTCTATATAACCACCACCAATTTTGGTATGTTAATTTTGCAATTTTACTATATTGATCTGATCTACATTTTTTTGTTGAAGTCCTTAGGATTTCCAGTATATAAGATCATATCATCAGCAAATGTAAGCAATTTTACTTTTCCTAGTTGGATGCCTTTTTGTTTTATCTTCTCTAATTAACTAAGACTTGCAGTCCTGTATTGAATTTAAGTGGCATGAGTTGGTATCCCTTGACTGTTCCTGATTTTGGAAGAGAATCTTTCAACTCTCCCCGACTAAGTATGATGTTTGCTGTGGGTTATAATAGTATGACACTTATTGGGAACAGTAGAATAAATTATTTGAAGGTAGAAATCTCCTTTCTGGATTGGGTTACTTTTAATCTATGAAAGATTTATAGTACTATACTTGATATTGTTGTCAAGGTGGTGTTTGCTAGCACAAATAACTGTTTATTTTAAAAATATAAAACTAGAAACCACCGTAATTGTATATCAGTAGGTGAATAAGCGGGTGTATTCATACAATGAAATAGTGCTACACAACCATAGAGAATAAACTATCGATTGACATGATAATTGGATGAATTTTACAAGCATTTTATAAAATGAAAGTAGCCTTTTATATGCCATTCTAGGAAAGGCAAGATTGTAGTCATGGAAGACTCATAAGCATATAGTTGCTAGGGAATGTTTATAATTAAAACAGTGTTTAAATATCCACATTTATGGGACCAAGGATATAGCTCACTGATGCAGAGCCGGCCTGGCAATCGTGAGGTCCTGAGTTCGATTCTTAGTACCCACCCCCCAAAAAATCCACATTTACAGACGACTGTAAAATGAATGATTTTATTTTATAAACAAAGATTCATTTATGAATGCTAATGTTATTGGGTTTAAAAAATAGAAGAAATAAGGTGCTTTCACAGTTAACAAAATATCACCCCAAACATTCACAAAAGAAAATAGTAAATTTGCAGCATAAAATCCTGTCAGATGTTGCCTTAACCAAGTAATCATGGTTTGTATCACTGAAAACCTGTATTTCTTGTATCTGATGTACCAAGATAGACACAGCATCTGTGTTTTCCTCCAGAAATGTAACCATCATCTAGTCATGAGAACACATAAGACAAGACAAACTTGAAGTTAATCTGCAAAACAATTAACCACCGGTCTTCAAAATGTCAAGTCAATGCTGGACCAGGGAAGATTCAGTAACTGTTGTAGGTTGGAAGACCTGACAACTGAATGCACTAGGAGATCCTGGATGTGGTACCAGAATAAAAAGATAATTAATTTGAAAATGCTGGGGCACATGAAAGACAATCTTAGATTAATCCATAGTATCTTACTAATATTAATTTTTGAGTTTAGAAAATTTATTGCAGTCACAGAAGATGTTAACAGGAACTGTGTACATGGAAACTCAGCATATCTTTTAAGCTTAAAATTATTGTAAAATAAAAGTAAAATGTGGGTCTTTAAGAGTTCAGTTTTACTTTCATATATGCCACAGTTACTTATAAAATACCAGGGGAGCAAAAAACCTGTTTTTCTATGATCACCACCATGTTTAAACACTTTTGATGATTTATTGATTTTGTTATTTAAAATACATTTTACTGGTTGTTACTTTGAAGTTTTAATGAGAGTCTGTAATCAGAGTTTAATTTAAAATACAGCTGAGAATTTAATTTTTAAAGAAAATTCTGGAAATTGAAGTAGCAGCACTAAGACAAATGCTTTTATTGTGGTGTTTTGGTTTTCAGCCATATATTAGGGCTTATTCGCTTTCATCCACCGTCTCCTCCCCTTGACTAATTGAACACAGCCATCTGTCTTCTGCCTCCTCTGCGCTTGTTGTATGTTATAAGCTCAGATTTAAATTCCCTATTCTTGAAGGAACAGTGAGTGACTCAGGAAACCAGACAAGGCAAATAGGACTTCTCTTAGTGGCTGCAAAGGTGGCCCAAGCATTTATGGTGCTTGCAAGAGTAGCATGTGTAGGATGCCAAGGCATTGTGCATGGCCCTATCATCCTACTCACCGGCAGCTTCACCTGGGGTTTTGATAGTAGGAATTAGACTGGTTATTGGGCAGATGTAATTATTCATTATGCTCAATCTATAATTTTTTTGTTGTTTCCTATATGTCAGCCTCTATGGTAGGCCCTGCCAAAATACAAAATTCAAAATTGTGATCCCTGTGGAAAAGCCATTTGAAAGGAAACAAACATGAAAGCATCATTAATATTAGGTAAATAAAAAAGAGGCTTTAGAGAGTTGACGGTCATCCCCTCATTATCTGTTCTTTTTTTTTTTCCATTTTGATTTTGGGTTTGTATTTGTTGAACCCACTATTTTCTTATCTGTAATATGGACATCTACAGTATTAGTCTTACAAGAGTATCGTGATCATTACTACCTGGCACATGAGAAGCACTCAGTACATGGTAGCTGCTGTCATGATGGTTGCTATGGAGACTGACCAGCCATTACAAAGCAGAGTTTATGCCTCTAAATAATTTCTTTCAGTGGATCTTGTGGTCGGTGCTTGGCTCAGTCTTTGTGTCGTCTTCCTTTCAGAGATGATGAAGAGAAAAAAAAATCTCCCTCGGAAGGTACTGATGAGAAGGCTAATGGAACACATCCAAAGACCATCAGCCGCATTGGGAGCACGACTAACCCGTTTTTGGACATTCCTCATGACCCGAATGCTGCTGTGTACAAAAGCGGATTCTTGGCTCGGAAAATCCATGCAGATATGGATGGAAAGAAGAGTAAGCATCACTTGCTGTCATTTTCTGTTTCATTTATTTTGTCTTTAGGTGCAAATTTTTGTTTTTCTTTTTGGTACCGGAAATCAAACTCGCAACCTCACACTTGCCAGGCAGGCGCTGTGCTGCTGAGCTACATCCCTGGCTCCTGGGTGCAAATTTTGTAGTGAATTTGTCTGACGTAAAGTCAAGGATGAAGAACTATTCCATATATATATATATATATATATATATATATATATATATATATATAAAATTGTTTAAAATGTGTGTATATTTAGAGGTGTATTCATGAAGTTTGAGCAAGCCTCTCCATCTAAACGGGAGACCACTGTGGCCCCTGACCTCCTTTTAGTAGAACCCTAGAAATGTAAGTCTTCTTATACACACTTCGTTTCCCAGAGTCTCCTTCATTTCTGTATCCACAGCTTCCATAACTAATACTGACTACTTACTGTGTCCTTGACAACAAAAATATAGCATTGAACTGGATGAAGAAGTCCCCTGTCTTCATGAGATTGATAGCTCCTAAGCCTGAGGGAAGGGTTCAATTTGTAATATGTAAATTAATCAGTGAGGTAACATCCTCACCCCTCAGAAAGGGCTACAGCAGGAAATTCATATCCAAAGCATATGTGGAACGGTGGGCCTTTGATAAGATGATCTGGTGATATATAGGCTAACATGGTATATAATTAGGACCAGGAAATTGAGGGAATGCCATCTGATGGCTCCAGATTTCTCTGTGAAGGGTGAGGCATGTTTATCTTCTGATAGATAATGGAGTTTGAAGTTTGAGAGGAACGGGGTATGTTCACAGAACAGTCTTTGCAGAAAGCAAAACAGTTGAATGGGATAAGAGAAGCTGACATATATGATAACATTAATAGGCTTAATGTTGTTCTCCACCTACAGACACAGACATGGAGTGAAGAGGGACAGAAGCTATCGCGGAGCTCTTTTTGGAGGTGTTAGCGTATTCTATTAGGCTGCATTCAAGAGAAACATTGTAGAGCTGCCACCTTTGAAACTGACTTAGTACACTGACTTACAATGCTAAGCGAGTTTGCATTTTTCAGGCCCTTTAGGCGCACCTCTACCATATTTCCTAGGCACCTTAAACACGATGGGGGAGGACTACTTAATTTCATCATCTTCTGCAAACTTTTATACGATAGATTTTTGTTTGTTTTGGTTCAGTTTGGTTTGTTGGTTTTTGGAGACACAGTTTCAGCTATGTAGCCCAGGCTGGCCTGGACCTCAGGACTACTACCAGGATCCTCTTGCTTCAGCTTCCCGATTGAGGCACTGAAGGTGTGCACTAGCACATCAGCTTATGTGTTAGCTTTAGACTCTCAAATGTGGCGTGTACACACATCCTTCTCCGAGCATTGAAACCAAAAGTGCCTACTGAACATGGTACCATTTTGCATTCACAACCACACGTAGGCCCATCTCCGAGCCACACGCCGTGTCCAGCCTCAGTGTGTGTCTCCAAGCCTAAAATTTGTTGGTTGTGTCCATTTTCTTCAGTACGGGTATGGCTATAGCTTCGATGTATAGGCAGAAAGAAAAATAGAGAATTACCTGCCATACCTAATGTATGTAAAGTTCTGGAAGCAAAAACCAGAGTAACTGCAGTTTCTTTTCGTTTTTTTTTCCTGGTATCGGGAATGGAACTCAGGACCTTGCACTTGCCAGGCAGGCACTGTGCCACTGAGCTAAATCCCCAGCCCCAGTAACTGCAGTTTAAAATACCTGTTCCAGAATAGGCAAAAAGGAAGCAAAGCTTCTCCCATTGCTTCAAAGCATGTGCTCAGTACCGTTGAAGGAGGAGAACAGAGCTAAGCCAAGCCACATGATTGATTTAATTGGCCAACTTCTATCGGAGTCTCCCTTGGGTTCTGCAGTAGATGAAGTTGTCTTGGTCCCTTGTTTTCCTGGCCCACCTCTGAGGCTACCTCGAGAGAACTGATCTGCTGCACCCATTTCCCCTAAGAGACCCCTGCGTGTGGATCTAGGTACAAACCTGAGAATTGCTTAGCAGTTGAGCAGTTCAGAGCCAGAGCCAGGGAAGCAGTTTTCCTGCCGGTATAATCTGCCATATGCCTCCCCACTGTCCTATGCTGAGAGTTTTGATCCCAGGAAGCTCTGAGCTGTATCACCAGTCCTTTTTGTTTTTGAGTTAGAGGCTCACTGAATTGCCCAGGCTGTTTTCAAATTGGCAATTCTCCTGCTTCAGCCTCCAAAATAGCCAAGATTACAGGCATTTACTACTACACCAGGCCAGGACAACCCTTTCAAGACTTAGCCAGCTACCTGGATAGTTTCTGGTTGGTTAGTGCAATTCTGAGTACCCTAGGGCTTTTGGTTTCTTTAGGAAGAAGTTCTGCCTAGTACCTAATTTCAAAGAAACATGCCCTTTCTCTGTTTCTTCCTCCACTTCTGATTCAGTTCAGATGTAAAAATATATGGAGAGTAAGACGGTGCCAGGTTCAGCCCAGGTTCCAGGATTAATTCCCACCAATTGCTTTAGTACTGGGGCAATTTTCACATCTCTTCAAGACAGGTCTTGAGAGGACCCTGAAAAGTTTCAGCGTCTGTAATTCCTCAGGCTTTGCCTGTCTAGCCCCAGTTTGCCGTGATTTCCAAATCACTTCAGCGTGGGCAGATCATTCAACTTCTCTAATATATAGGGAAGTGCATGATTTCTAATAATAATTTGCTTCAGCTAAAATTTACCAGTGTAAAATGTATAGCTTGAGCTTTAGAAAACGTATGTAGTTACATAACTGCGATCACAACCAAGATACCTATTTCGATTTCTGGAAAAAGTTCTATTGCACCTTTTGTGGTTAATTCCTTCTCCTCCAGCTCCAGCTCATGACAATGAGTTTTTTGGCTGTGCATTCTATATTCATACTTTTTCCAGAATTGCAATAAATGGAATTTTAAGTACAGAACTATTGTATGCCCTGCTTTTGTCACTTGGGATTATTCTTTGCACAGTTGTGCACAATGTTGTATATTGTGTAAACTAGTAATTTGTCGCTTTTTATTGTTGCATAGTATCTTATTGTTCCAATAGCGCATTTTATTCACTCACCAGTTAGCCATTTGGGTTGTGTCTAGGTTTTGACTACTATAAAATGAAGCTGAGATGAACGTTCATATGTAAATCTGAGGAGTACGTGTATGTTTTCATTTCTTTTTAGAAGTTACCTAGCAGTGAGGGAATGAGATGTTAGGCTTTATGCTAGGTGTATGTTTATAAGAAATTTCCAACATGTCTTTGCAGTTCTGCATTCCTACCAGCTAAGTATGTTATATCCTCTTGGTGAACTGACCTTTCTGTCATTATGAAAGGACTCTTCTTACTCCTCATTATATTCCATATTTGAAGATTACTTTATGTAAAATTCCTACAGCCACCTGAGCTTCTTTTCAGTTTTGCATGCTAGAGAACATTTTTTACCAGCTTTTATTAATCTATAATTTTGTCTTTAAATTTTTTTTCTTTTGAATGGCATATTAGTGGGCTTTAGAATCTTTGCTTTTTAATTAGTGTTTAGACTGATTATACTTATTGTAATTATCGATGTAGTCCACTTTACATCTGTCATTTTGCTATTTGTTTTTTATTTACTCCATCTGTTCATCGCTCCTCTTTTCCTTTTGTCTTATTTAGGATTAATGAGATTTTATGGTTCTGTCTTGCTCTACTGATTTATTAGCTGTACCTGTTTACCTGTGTTAGTGGAGGCTGTGGGATTTACTGCCTGCCATTTAAAATTATCTCAGTCTACCTTCAAATTATGCCACTTTGTATGTAGTTTGAGATCTTTATGATTGTTTTTCTTTCTCTTTTCCTAGCCTTTGTGCTGTTGTCACCCTTTAATTCTGTGTATGTTATAAAACTAACATTAATATACTGGTAGTATTTTTCTTTTAATAAAAATGTGTTTTAACATTCATATGCATGCTGTGGGCAAGATATTTTATCATGTTTTATCAGTCTGAGAAAGTCTGCATGTTTTACCTTAGTTTTATGCATTTGTGTTCAGTGGGTTTCAAATTTGGGGACAGTTGTTTTTTCTTTTACTTTTAGTAATTTAAAAATGTTGCTCCATTCTTTGCTGTCCTGCATGATTTCAGACCAAAAGTCTCCTTTCATTCTTGCCTTCGTTCCTCTGTTCTCAGTGTAGTTTGTTCTTTATCACTGTCGTCCAGCAAGTTTGAATCATATAGGGTACCTTATTATAGTTTTCATTAGGTTGTCTTTTTTGTTTTTTGGTTTTTTTAGGTTCTCAGGTTTCCTGGTTTATATTTTCACCAATTTTGGAAGATTTTTGTCCATTGTTTTTAAAGCATTCACCTTTTTTCTGGGACTTGTTTCTTGTATGTTAGGTCTTAATACTATTCCAAAGGACCAACTCTTTTTTTGTCCTTTCAATACTTTATTTTAATATTTTTTGTTGGAATTTACTACAGTATTTTTCATTTCATGCATGTAATATTTCTTTAGAAGTGTGTGTAGAATCTGTTTTATATCCTCCATTTCTCTCCTTATCAAGATCATGTTTTGTTAATATCCTTGAGCACATTTCCTGTGTTTTTAATACCTATTTTAAGGTTCTTGTCCTCAAATCTCTTCCTCTCTGTCGTTTCCAGGGCTATTAAACAATGGCTAATTTTTCCCTTTATTAGTTAATACTATACAGGCCATGGTTTCCTTTTATTTTTTTAACTCATGATCATCTTTATTTTCAGTGTCACAAATTGTAAGGTTTTCATCTTGGGAGCCTTAAATTTAGTTGCATTTCTTTGTAAAAAGTTGGATTTTCTTCCAGTCCCCATGTCAGGGGCTTGTAGATGAATGGGATCTGTTCGGCGCCTGTATCTTTTGTTGTGTTGGATCCAGAACAGCCTTTACTCAGGGACTGACTTAGTCCCATTAGTAAGGCGCCATTGCTCATCTTTAGACTACCCAGTGCCCCCTGGGCTACAAACTCCGCCCACCCTGGCTGATAAAACCACAAACCCTGCCTGGCCCTGTGTGAGCTGTGAAATTGTTCAGCCCAGTACTTGGTGGTTCCTTCCCATGTGGTGGCTCATGTCCTTCCTCTGATGCTCAAGTCTGTGTTCCGGGGAAGACCCGGGAGTTCTGCAGATCTCCAGCATGGTCTCTTTGGAAATTTCTTCCCTCTGTTTTTCTCTGCTTTACAGATTCTAGCCCCACGTCTCACCAAACTCCCTCTTTATGTCCTCCACTCAGCATGACTTCAAGTTTTTTTTTAAATGCCCCTTACTGCTGGAGCTGAGCAACTTTATTCAGACAGTAAGGTGGTCTCGCCTCATTTGGTCTTCCCCTTCCAAAATACAGTCCAGTCCTGCTACTAAAAGTAATATATGTACAATATTTTCTAGCTGTTGCTTTAGTGTGGCCAAACCAAGCTCTAAACTGATTTTATCATTTCCTTTTGTTAAGAGATGTCTCAGACCACAGGACCTAATATTTACTGAGCTATGACTGTGGTAAGGAATGTTAAGCAAGTTACAAGTGAGCTGTTGAGATATGTACTTGGAGAGCTAGCAACGGCTTTGTTCCTTCCCACCTAAACTTTTCCCCTTTCTTCCCCCCTTTTAATCCTATCACCTTGAATTGACTTTTCCAAGTGTTAGGCTACCGCTGCTGTTTAGAAAAGCACCAGAATGCCAGAACTTCCCTTTTCTTTGGGAGATGATCATTATAAGCAAGTCTGAGAAATATTTTATATTAAGTATTCATATTTAATCTGCAGTACTTTTCATTTTCAATACAAATCATATTCATCAAAAAAAAAATAACAGTGGTCCTTCATGGGTAAGAGAAATAAATAATTTTGAGAAATCTGCATGATGATACCTTTTCCAAGTCTGCAAACTTTTTTTGAGTTTGGTGTGAGTATAGCTAGAGTTATTTTACAGTTGGACATGTATGTAAATAGGACCAGGTGCTATAATGACATGTTGCTATGAGTTTTTAGAATAAGTAAAGATTTGAGTCAGTCCTCTAGAGATATTATTTTTCCATAAAACATTGTTTATCTAGTCTTGAAGAGACCGCTTGTTCCACTCGGGGCTGGATAGATTTTCAGATTGCACTGATAATTATTCATACAAACATGTTTTAAAAACCTTGGAGATTTCTTTGCTCCTTTTTTCTTTTTGTCTTTTAAAGATTTGTTCAGCTCATAAAATTCTACCTCCAGGAGGCAAATCAAGGTTAACAACAAGTGGTATGTCTCACATAGGTTTATGTCAACCAGAATCATTAAATCTGACATTAAGAGAAAGCTTTGAAAAGTCAAATTTGAAAAACAACATGTACCTTCTTGTTTTTGTCAGGTAGAGTAAGAAAACATAATATAAACTTTTAGTTGTATCAATCTGTTATTAAATACTTAAAGAAGCCAGGGAGTTGTCTGTAAACGATATATCCAGAATATTAATGTTTTAAATGATTCCAGTGATGATTAAAATACTCAGTATTAGCGCTTTGCAGTAAACAGTTCATGTTTAATTCATTTAATCTTTGTTTAAAGATTATCTACACTTTACAGATAATGAAATTGATCCTAAACATCTTAACCAAGGTCATAGTATAGAATATTGGGGAGCTAAAATCTGCCACCTACTTGTAGCATATTGTCAAAAGCAATTTCTATAAGGACAATGCTTAGAAAACATGTAGCTTCCACATTGTTTGTGTGTTTGAGATAGTTTGCAGTAGGTATTTAGATGACTGGAGGTCTTAAGTGAAAGCAGTAGAATTTGAACATTTTTCTGTTACTTGGTGATCAAGATAGCACTTTTAAGAGATTGAATGGCATGAATTCTGTTTGGTGCTTTCTGGTTGACCACTGTTTGCACACCTTCTTATGGCCATATGTCAGCCTCCCCACGCTGCTTTTCTAACCTCAAAATCATTTAAGATATTGCCTCCCTACCTTATAATGACATAGCATTCTGAGGAACTGGTTAATACAGAACACTATACATAATGTTGTAGTTACATTTCAGAGGTAAAAATTAGGTGGTAATGAAGTACCATTGTAGTTTTTTATTACCACAGACTATGTAAGGTGAAGGTAATGAATTTTTATTTTCTACATGAATTAAGAATTCTTTGAATTAGAAGCATATATATTTTAAAGACCTATATTAAACAGCCTCTGTACCCCAATGAATTTACATATATGTGTAATATATAGAATTTACAAAATATGCATAATTGTACATATGGGTGTGTAGTTAGAATTTATAAGTCACTCTGTACAGGCTTAAATAATACATTATTAGCTAAGGTATCACATAATATGTTCAAAATTGAGAGGAAGATGTTCTTTGGGCATGCTGACATTTCCTCAGATAGCAAGATATAAATAGAAGATAATACAATGGAAAAGAGAAGGCAGCAGTCTCTAGTATTTATGAAAACTTGCTATATGACATAGGAAGTAATTTAGATAATTAGGGACTACAAAAGTGCTTCTGGAAGTGGTGCTGAGAGGGATGTGTTGTGTGCGGGGTATGTGTGCCTGTGTCTTTTGTCTCCTGAGTCCTAACATAAAAATCTGTCTCAGGTAGATGAAATGTAAAAGTTTAAGAAATAAAGTGCTAAGACTATTAGAAGAAAATGAATTAACTCTATAATCTTTGGATAGAAGATTTCTTAAATTCTCTTTGAACACAAAAGTTAAAAAAATATTATTATATATTTACATTAAAAGTAGACCAAGGATTTCACAGCAAACATTTACTGTACTACTGAGCTACACCATCCCCAGCCCAAGACCACTTTATACTTATAAAATTTATATTTTATATAAATTTATACTTATAAAATTTATATTTTATATAAATTTATACTTATAAAATTTATACTTATAAAATTATCTTTTAAAAATTTAAGTAACAATGTATAGGTTGAAGGAAGATACTTGTAGCATATTACTAATCAAATATTAAAACCATAATATCTGTGTAGATCTTAATTAGAAAAGGACATCATGGCAAAACAGGCAAAAAATTAAAACAGGCCTTTTACAGAAGAAAATACTCAGATGATCAATACATATACAAAGACATACCTGATCACTAATTATCAATGATATGCTGATGCTCAGTATATGATGAGGTGCCATTTCACTTACATTCCCTTGGCCAAAATTTGAAAGAATACGAAACATTAGCAAGGGTTTAGAGAAATGAATTGTCTTATACCTTATAATGTATTACTGGTATGAATATTTTGGACAACAATTGCCAATAAGATAACCTTATAAGGTCTCATATATTTCATGACAGATTTTCAAAAACTCAGTAAAGCACCTGACTTCTTGGAAAATTTAGAAGCATATAAGGATATTTTTCTTGGAATCTGTCCAGAAAAAGTAACAGAAAACCCAAAGCACAAAGTTTAACATCCAGTAATGAAATCTCTTTGTGACTGCCATCATTACAGTGGAATATATAAGAACTTCACCAGTGGGCCAGAGTTGTAGTCACTGCTCACATTTAGAAATGTGAACAGTTAAATTATGGTCACACAGGGAACACACTGAACAACGTGACCTTGTCAGAGTCCAGAAGAAAGAACTGAGAGGTAACAGTGGAGAGCAGAGCGGAGAGTAAGCAAAGAGAGAGAGGCATTGTACTCCTCTTACTGAAAGAAGTTGAAAGATGCTGCCTGGAGCGAAGAAAGAAAAAGAATGTCATCCCTTACCTGTCAGTTTAAAAATACATGGGAAAATGATAACTGTGGGAGGTGAGAGTTATGTTAATTAACTTGATTGTGATAATTATTTCATAATATGTGTGTGTAGTAAGATATCGAACTATACACTATAACTTTATACAGTTTTTCTATTTGTGAGTAATGCCTTGCTAAAGTGAGGGGGGAATGCTCAAACATACACAAAAATGTCACTACACTTCCTTATACCATGGAGATTAGTATAAATATAAATAAACAGATATAAATATGTTAGGAAAATAAAATGGGGTTATAATGCTTGTTAAATATTCATCTATTGCAGCAGAAACCCAATAAAGAATGTTTACAACCTATTCTGACATAGTGAAAGAAATACACTGTTTTGTGGTACGAATGTAATTAGCTACCAGGAAAAATAGCTCAAGTGTTAAAGGGTAGATTCTTCCGGAAGAAGACTGGAGGAGTTGGCAAAGAGTGAAGAGGGTCATTACATGGATGTCTCATTTCAGTAATTTTAAAATATTTTAATGGTATTATTGTGTTGTTAGTATAGACTCTTCAGTTGCTTTGCCTACCCAAGATTAGTTTCTGATTTGAAATGGTCTAATATAATTGCATTTTGAGTGTGTGAAAATTCTTTTTTTTTTTTTTTTTTTTTTTTTGGTTTTTCTCCGGTACCGGGAACTGAACTCACGACCTTGCGCTTGCCAGGCAGGCGCTTTGCCACTGAACTAAATCCCCAGCCCCAGAGTGTGTGAAAATTCTTGGTGGTGCCTATTTCCTATGTCACTGTAGACACTTTGGGCCCAAGGACTGCTGGGTAGCACCTGCAGGAGGTTAAGGAGGTTTACTCACTCTAGAGGGATTTACACACTTGGCTGTCATCGAAAGTTTTGAAAACTTGGTCCCACATGTCAAATGTGAGACAGTAGATGTTATTCTGAGTCACACATGCTGAAAATAGAGTTTAGAATGGCAAGGCAGGCAGAAATCTGTGCTATTGTGTAACATTGGAAACAGCGACACTATAATTAAGAGATAATAAAAGTGGAATGGTTTCATCCCCCCCCCCCCCGCCACAAGGTAGTTGTCTCCTTCTGTTGGAGAAAGACTCTTTAAGAGAAGGCAAAGCAAAGCAATTGTTTTAAAACTAGGTTGAAGTTTTCCCTCTGCTCCCCACCTTGCTGTTCTCCGAAGGGTAGATAATGAAGTGGTTTGAGCTCCAACACAGGGTCCTTGGACAGCCAGTGAGGCTGGCTCAGGAAGACCCTAGCAGGCATTTGTCCCACAACAGTTAAGTTTGGTGGAATTTCAGTTTCAGGTGGGGTGAATGTCTTCACAATTCTACATTTGGATTGAAAGAATAAGTTTTAGGTTTCAAAGTTCCATTTGTGTCTTTAATTTAAAATCCACCCTTCTCTGCAGCAAAGTTGGTGAAAAGAGGCCACCCACCATTCTCCTCAGAAGCAGTACTTTTGACAAGGAACAGTGGAATATAAACTGCCAATCTTTTAGCACCAAAAAAGTCTGTGTGCAGAATCTCTGACGTATTTCTTTCTGAAAGAAGTATGCGCAGCGTTCACTGTGTCTGATATTTTAGAAGTGATTCTATTTTTGCTGTCGCCTTGTTCTGTTTACCTTTCAGGTTTAGTTAACATGGAAGAGAAAGAAGAAAATAAGTTGTGTAACTCAACTGTGACCATTCAATGCAAGCTATCAGTTTCTTCAATTATCTGATGAAAGTTTGGAGTTAAAAATAAAGCACAGGACCCAGGGATGTAGCTCAGTGGTAGAGCACAAGCACAGTAGGCATGAGGCCCCGGGGCTCAATCTCCATCACTAAAACATTAATAATAATACTGTACAGTTGTCCTCCTTATCCACACACAGTATGTGTCAAGATCTTCAGAGGGTGCCTGAAATTGTGGACAGTACTCAGTCCTAAAATTAATGCCCTTTTCTGTCTTAACTAAGCATTTGTCACCCAGTCTGGCTGTCATTTTGCAGTTTGAGGAGCAGCAGCAAAATTAGCATGGATTGCTTTTTCCTTTACAGTTTTGTAGATGCAAAATTCATTCTTACTATAGATCTTAGCAACTTTAGCATATTGTTCTTTATTTTTCTTTCCATAAACTTTTTCTCTTCTTTCTAAAGGAGCACATTATGGTTTCTCTTAAGCAAGTTCATGACTACAATTGTGCTTAGGAGCTGTTACTAAGTAGCGTAAGGATTACTTGAACACAGCAACAAGGTACCACAATTCCGAGATAAAATAGGAACTGGGATAGGGCCGCTGAGGCACTGTGTGCACAGCATGGATAACTGGACAAAGGGATGATTCACTTCCTGGCCTGGATGGGGCAGGATGGCTTGAGATTACATCACACTATTCAGTGTAGCATGCAGTTCAAAAGTTATGAATTGCTCATTTCTGGAATTTTCCATTTAATACTTTCAGACTGCTGTTGATCACAGGTAATCGACACCATGGAAATTGAAAGCATAGGTAAGGGAGGGCTCTACTAGCTTCCTAAAGGAATTAATCCCCATGATAAAAAAAAAAAGACATACAAAAATGTTGTCAACACGCAGTACTGGTTTAAGAATTCGAGTTTTGAAACTGGATAAGGCATTGATTCATTTCAAACCATATTTTGAGCACCATCTGTGTGCCAGCCGTGCTCTTGGTGGGGAAGATGGGCGGCAACAGTCAGCTGAGAGCTGAGCAGCGAATGGCAACAAGAAGTCCATGAGATCTGTGGCTGCAGAAATCATGGATACACATAGTCTGAAGAAGTGAACGTACAGTGCGGAAGGCTCCTTAACAGGAGGCAAAGCAAAGCAATTATTTTAAAGGGAGGCTCAAGCTTTCCCTCCCCTTTCCACTTTGTGGTTGTTGGGAGAAGGGTAGGATAATGAAGTGGTTTGAGCAATAATACAAGGTCCTTGAGCAGACAATCTAATGCTTGTCATTATACTTAGCATGGTGCCGGCTGCAGAGGAGTCTGGTTATTTCATCTACAGAATATCCTCACTGTGCTGGGTTTGGTGGTGCACGCCTGTAATCTCAGTATTTAGGAGGCTGAGGCAGGAGGATCTTCATGAGTTTGAGGCCAGCCAGAACTACATAGTGAGACCCTGTCTCAAAAAAAAAAAAAAGAATATCATCATCTTGGAAATACCTCAATACACAGTAAAATGTGCATAAAGTAAACTATGATAGCACAATGTCATCTTTTCAAAAGTGATATATGTAATTAAAATATTTTTAAAGTATGGTTTTATTTTTAAGAGTGATGCTAGACAATATAATGTGTTATCAAGGAAAAAATTAGTATTGTATGTAATTTGACATATTTCTTAGTAAAACATAATATTAATGCAAGGGAATGTTTTAAAGTCATAATTAAATATAATTAAGTCTAAAAATGTAACATTCACAAAATAATGATACATGAGGGAAAGTGTAACATTTCTCTTACTATAGTTATCAATCAAAAAATGCCTATGGTAAGATTGTGTGTATTTTGTCTTTTTAATATGCTATTAATAGCTGTTATAATACATTTATATTCTGTATCTGCAAGAGATTGGTTCTGGAACTGCCAACAGACGAATGCAGTCTTTGCATAGAATCTTTGAGCCTATTCCCATATACCTTAAATCATCTGTACATTATTTATACTGCCTAATAGAAGACAAGTGCTGTGTAAACAGCTGTTATACTATATTTCTCAGGGAAAAAAAATGCCTCCCTACATTTTCAATACAGGTGCAACCCATGCCAAGCCTAACTACACAGTACAGAAATGAGATCCCAGCCAAACAATGCCGGAACAAGGAGCAACTACCTTCTAGGAAATGACTGGAGGCTCCTGCAGAGCGTGCCTGAGCACCAGTTCCTTCGCAGGGATTCACCCAGCCTAGCGCTCAGTGCATAGCAAATTTAAGTTTTGTTTTTGGAACATGCTTTAAAAAATCATTTGTAAATATCTGCAGTTGGGTGAATTTGCAGAAGTGGACCCCAGGATACAGAGGGCAGACAGCACCATTTGCAGTTAACAAATGGGGGATAGAAATGGCCTCCTTTTATCTTTAAAAAAAAAAAAAAAAAAAAAAAAGAAATGGCTGGATGAGTTGACCCTGGTGGTGTTTTAGTAGTACTTAGTATCCTTCACAAACGCTGATGTCCCTGGTGCTTCTGGGGTATAGCCAGAAGCTCAGGCCTTTTATCTGCAGATGGGAAACACCTGAGACCATTGAAGATTAGATAAATGGCAGATGTTTGGCCTGTTGGGAAAAGCTGAATTGAACATACAGTGGCATCACTTGTGAAGTCTGGTTTTTGGCGCTCATGTGTAAGCAGTAAGGTACAGACCTAGCCCTGTAGCAGGCATAGATCAGGAACTCCATCTCAGAAGGAGGAGCCAGAAGTCTCTGGAGCTCTTGGGTTTAGGAAGCAGTCAGGCTGCCATCACGTTCTCTGGAGAACAGATTCTGTCTGGGACTGCTCATCCACTGTGAATTCTTTTTATTGACCTGCAGCAGCTTGTGCCCAGGGGCATTTTAAAGGTGCTGTTGAGCCCTGGGCTGTTTTACAATTACAGGGGCATATTTGAATTGCTATTTGTAGAAGTGCACTCTCAGCAGGATCTTTGACTCTGTCCTTCCTTAGGTCAGAGGGTGCTTGTACAGGAGACCTGATTTGGTATCTCTGGATAAGCCTGCTTGTCTGATTCAGCACTTCTCAGACTGCGGGATTTAACCTGTCATTTTATTTCAGCACTTTGCCTTTTGTAAGTTTTATAAAGCACTCTGTAAATTGTTCTAGAAATTATGAAAAACATTATCGATGTGCTTGATTTTCTTGGATTCTCAGTGTTCATCACTTTCATATAAATGAACTCTGTGAACTTGAGTGACATTTTGCTATGCTCAGTTTACCGAAGGGTTTATTCAAAACAGTCAATTCTGGTGGCTTCCGCCTTTAATCCAAGTACTCTGGAAGCCTGGGGAAGAAGGACTGCAAGTTTGAGCCCAGTCTGGGCAGTTTATCAATTTTGTGGGAACTTGTCTCAGAATAAATCTTAAATACAAATAAATGAACTGAAAGGGCTGAGTGAAAAAGAACAGAGCTAGGAGTTGGGGAGAGTGAAAGACGTACGCAGTACTGTGCGGCAGGGGGTAGTAGAGGACACACTGGGAGGCGCTGACATTAAACCAGGTCTGATTGAAGTGAAGATGCCAGCGAGTCATGATGGTATCCGAAAAAGGAATGGTCTAGAAAGAGATGAGATCATGTGAGTGTTTGTAAAACAAGATTTGAAAAATTTTCTGTGGCTGTCATGTTTCCATTTTTCCGGGGGAAAAATGTGGTATTAACAGTCACAGTTATGTTGCTTCGTACTCATTTCTCCTGTAACCCTGTGCAAATGATACACACTCTTCTTACAGTCTGCTTTCTTTTCTAGTCCCAGGACCATCCATTTAAATCCTTTCTTTGCTTCCAGTAGTGACGACTGGTGAATTATTTCCTAGCCAGGTGGGGAAAGACATTTCTGTAAGTTAGATTTGAGTATCTTTGTAGTTTATTTCTTAAGTAGAGTATTTTCCAGCATCTTTTCTCCCTTGGCATACTGCTCCTTTTGCTTGCATTCATGTTTGATATCTCCATTATCATCACAGGCTTTAGGGTTACGTGGAAGCGATAAATTTGTTGTTTAGTGTGCTACTTTTCACCACCCACTCATTGAACTATGGCTTTGTATGCCGAGCACCGCTTCCTATTAAAATGTGTCACTAATGTACAGGGGGAGGCCTCAAAATGTTGATTTTCACAGAGAAAAAGAATTCTAAATACTTGAAGTACTGAAAAAAATTCCTTGCAATTTAGCAAAGTGAAAATTGGAGGTGCTATCTTTAGCAGACAGTATGCTTAATTTAA